AAACATTTTGTATACATTCTTAACGATACGAGAATCATTACAAAATTGTCGCACTTAGGTATTTTCAAACATACACAAACACAAATCATTTCAAAGTGAGCTAGCAATTAAGAGCCCGTAGATAACTACGGATGAAAAGGGTGCTAACACCTTCCCTTTTCATAACCTACCCCCCTTACTCAGAAAATTCTCAAAAGGTCTTTCATGTTCTTTTCACCCTTTCCTTTATTGGAAAAAAGAAAAGTCGATGGCGACTCTTGCTATCCGCAACACTTGCAATAAAACGCAAAACCCAAAAGTCATTTCTTCCACCATATTATAAGGGACATGGAGGCCTACGGTATTCTCTACCGGGTATTTCTTTCCTTTTTTACCTTTCATCAAAACATTGAGGGTAATGTTTAGTTTAAGTATAGGGGAGGAACTTTATTGTTTTTACTTTATCGCTTTCTAGGTAGATCTATTGCTTTTTAGTTCAATTCGTGTTTTTAGTATTCTATCTATTTTTAGTGTTCAGTCGAGTCATTGCATGTGGTGTCGAGTCATTTATGTGTGGTTTCTGTTGATTAATGAATTTCTACAAAAAATTAAGCTCCAACAAATTTTTTCCTGATTCATGGCACGACACACTTTGAAAGTATAGGTTGTTTTAGAGTTATGGTTATGTTAGTAAGACTTGGAAAGTCTCAGAACTATCGGTACCGTCCCTATACCTTTAGCTTCCCAAATATGAAAAATCAGTTTGAGTGCCTATTATGCCAAAACCTCAAGTTCTTGTTATATAGTAACCCTTGAGTAGTTTATATTAGCAGTCAACACTATCTTAAGCACACAATACGTAGGGAAGCCAATGAAAATAAGTGAATGATTGTATGCTTAATGAATAAAACAAATAAAATGGGAATGTGCCCTCTAAGTTAGGTGACCCTCACCAGGTCATTTGGCCTAACGGTATCTGAACCTCCAAAAAAATTTATGTTAAAGGCAAAGTGAATGAATTGAATTGAATTAAATTCATAGTCACTAACAGATTTTCTTACTACGTGTGTAAAAAGATAACAAGCTTGATGTGATTGCGCTTGAAAGAAATAGGATGAAAGATGATAAGTGATCTAGGTTGAGCCATAAAAGCATGATCAGACTAGTTTGCATAAGAGGGAGGTTTTTGACCTTGAAATGGAGAATTGTGTCTTTACGGTATCCTTGGTGTCGACCCATTAGTACCTATCGACCAAACATTTAGCCAAACCAAAAAACACAACCACGTATGAATAGAGGTGATGTTGTGTCTATGTTTCATTGTCGCACTTACATTGTTTTTATCATGTTGGTTAATTGCTTGAGGATAAGCAATGGTTCAAGTGTGGGGGAGTTTGATAACACGAAACTACATAGTATATTTTGATTCGATTTTGCATGCATTTTAGTGTCAATTTTATATTTTTTTGTAGTATTATGTCGATTTTGTTTGCTTGTTTCAAGTATTTGCAAAAGAAGAGAATTTATGTGAGAAACCGAGAAGAATTGCCAAAAGAGAATAAGTAATGAAGAAAAGAAAGTTTCTCGTGCATGGCGTTCACCATGGGCATGTGGCGTTCTCCATGCACCCCATAGCCACATCTCCCTTACTACTAAACCATGGTGTTCACCATGGCATGGTGGCATTCTTCATGTACGCGCAGAGTAGAAAAATAAATAAACAGACTTTGCTCATCCTTCTCCCACATTCCCTACTTTTTCTCCATGAGTCCCACACGTTTTGGAAGCATTTTATCAAAATTGACCATCCAAGTTTATACGCACAAGAAGCGGTTTTAATTTTAAGTAGAAATTACCTTTTAAAATGGTAGAACTCTCACATCGGAGGACTACCACATACTAGTTCTTAGGAATTCCATTGTATTGCTTGGATCAAAGACAAAGTTTGCCGGTATTAGAAGTTATTTTTTCCAGTTTTTTGTTTGTTGTATTCAAAGATTTATCACATTCAAAATTATTCCAGTTTACTATTTCAGCTTTATTCTACAGGTTTAATCATTTACCATTGCTTTAATTATTGGTTTTGTTTCTAACTATTTATTTTGTTCTTATTATTGTTGTCCCGAGAAATTGGATGTTTTCCATAAATCGTTTCCAAACCTTTAATATGTGTATGTTTGTAGTCAATATTTATAATTGCATGTTTCATTCAAAAACAATATCTGGTTAAATTGTTTTGAGTCCGGTATATGAGGATCGTCGTTCCAACAGGACTCGGTATTGATTTGGCGTAATATCTTTTTATAAAGATTGTTTTTCTGATTCGGTTTTCAGTTTAATATTTAAAAGGTTTTGCGCGACGGCAAGAACACTAAGGTTTCAAACCAATAGCGCGAGAATGTGAGGTTTTGTACTGGATTGTAAAAATTGGACATTAGTTTCTAAATACAGCGAAAGCACTTTAGAATTAATTAGGACTTGTTAGTTTTCGAAAAGTAATCTGCAACTTAAATGGATGAGCGAGAGTAAAACATTTGTGGTTTTGAAATATAACACGGGTCAATAGCACGAGAATGTGAGACTAATGTTTTTAAACTAATACTTTCTTCTAAAAAGTAATTTTAGAATATGACTTACGCCAATGATTTATTGAATCACATAGATACAACGGAAACCACTTTTTTGTCTCTCTTATTTAATATATTTTCTAAATTCTACTCTAGTTCTAATTTTAATTTTAACTATTCCCTTATTCAAAAAAATATTAATTAATCTTAGATTTACAAAATAGCAATAGAATACGATTAATTTGACTATTAATCTCTGTAAAATCAATATCTTTTATCACTACTGCAATACGATACACCTGTGCACTTACAGTTAAATCGCAACATTTAGAGAAAAAGCCCAAAATGCTAAGTGCTTCTTGTTTGTGAAAAAAAGTTCAATGAATATGAAAATCAAATTTAATAAATATATAAATTAAGTGGCTTAAAGAAAAACAAAAAATAAACTTCAAATTACTTATGGCTTGATTTTCTTTATAAGTGAAATAATTATTTTTCTATAATTAACCAAGGAGATAATATTTCTATTATTATAGGTTTATGAAAAGTATTGGAGAAATAACTATTAACTATTATAAGTGAAATAATTATTTATAGTATTTGGGCTATTAACTAGTGAAATAATTATTTATAGTATTAACTATTCCTTCCGTTTCTTTTTTAATGTGATTTTAGCATAAAATTCTTCAACCAAAATAATATATTATTAGAGTTATTTTTTCTATTACACTCTTATTTATTTTCTCTTTTTAAATAAATTCATTTATATACTATTTCTCTTTTTTCAATAACTAATTAAGAAAATAATAATTTTATAGAAAATATGAAATGGAGTTAATGAGAAACTAAAACTATAATTGATAAATTATAACATTAAATTATAAAAACGACACTTAAATATAAAAAAATCTTATATTTAAAAATGAACGGAAGAAATATTAACCAAATAATAAAACATTATAAGAGATTAAAAGGTATAAACTTTTATGTGACGAATGTATTTTATAAATGCAATAATTATTAGTCACTATTAAAATTTAAGTTTGAGATTTATTGGTTAACTAGTGAATTTGATTTATCCATAAACAAAATATATTAACTATTATTAATTTTTTATATTTATAATAATGATAAGATGGTACCTAATATGCTATCTTGGAAATTGATAACTAATTTTTTAAATATTATGATTAATAATTTTTTTTGAAATCTTAATTACAAAGTCTAATTTTGGTATCCTATTGGTATCACACATAACAATAGTATAAAATTACAAAGTATAATTTTAATATCTTAATGGTATCATACATAATAAAATAGTATAAAATTATAAAGTTTAATTACAACATAATCTAATTTAATTGTTTATAATAAAATGACTCTAATATGTACTAAACTTAGTTCAAAGAAGGAAAATTGTTTTAACATTGAGATCTCCTTATTCAATATTAAAATCTTCTACGAAAAATCAATCGCATCCGCAAAGCTTTCCCATCAATGACATCATTTTTTGTTTTATTTTTTATTTTAACTTTTTTATTTCATTTCTTTTATTTTTTTATTTTAAAAAAAATAAAAAAGCACTTAACCATTGGTTTAGGAAAATCGCAGATTTTTTTTTTTATTTTAGTGGTTTACACACTAGTGTAGGAAATACTTTTTACATCGGACGAAAATTACATTTTACATCAGATCTGGATCCGATGTAAATTCAAGCGATGTAGTAAATCAAAGACATTTTATATCGGACTAGGTCTGATTTTATAAAAAAAAATGAAATATTTTAAATCGGTAATATATGATTTTAACATCGATTGTCTCAATGGCCTAATGTAATATATAGGTTTTAACATCGGTTGTCTCAAAGGCCCGATGTAATATGTTTGCTTTTTTTTTTAAAAGAATCAAGATGGATTCGTAATTTTTTTTTGTACCTATTTTTTCATATTTTTCCAACATCACAAGACCACATTTAGGTCGCTATTTTTCATATTTTTCCAACATCACAAGACCACATTTAGGTCGCTATTTTTCATATTTTTACCATATCACACAGACCACATTTAGGTGGCTATTTTCATATTTTTCTAATCAGTGAAGGATAATTTCATTGCACCAAATAGCTAGGATGCACATATATATTCTTCAAAATGAACAATTGATTTATAAAAGTACTAATCTATGATACACACAAGTGTACAAAATTATAAGGAAGTTTACACATGATGAACTACTACAACAACAAAACCAATGAAATTATACCAAAATATCCACACTTGAAATAACAAACTACAATCCACAAGAAGATGAGTTGTAGCTTCGGTAGACAACACCAAAATCACATATGCTGACAATAAATAATAACACCCATTAACATCAGCAACAACACCAAAATCAAGAAACTCAAATCAGATATGCATAGACAATTCTATATAACTCACCAGATAGAGCTTAATTTTTATATATCTTAAAGAAACATTTTACCCAACAGAGTCGCAAATCATATAAATCATCTTGTGTTAATTTTGTTGGGTCATCAAATATCTACAATACATAAATAACAAGTTATTCTTTGAAAATTCACATTAAGTTGCAAAACCCAAAGTAAATAACAAAAGTAAAGTTTTTTTTATGACCTGCATCCAAGAACCGATTATATTGGCACAGACAATATCTAACATATTTTTCATCACATAATATCCACAATCATTAGAATTATGTTGTAGCCTTGTCTATAAATGAATGACATAATTAGTGAATATTTATCATAAAATTAAATATAGAATTATAATATACATCATACTTACATTGGGATGAAGTCATGTAGCATTTTTTTTATTTCTATTTGTCATTTGATGAACCCAAAAAAATTAATTTTAAAAAAATCCATATAAAACCATATAAAATATGAAATTACTTTTGTAACAATTTATATATATATATATATATATATATATATATATATATATTATATATATATATATATATATATATATATATATATATATATTAAGAACTTCTTTCTCTATGTAATATCTTCATATTATTTCACTCTAATATCTTCACATGATTCATACTACTTAAGAACTCAAAAATATGTACAATTCTTCAGTCTTGACTAATAAAAAAGAAGATTAAATAATGTAACTACAACAAACTCAATTCCTGCAAGGTAAAAACCCAATGTAATTCCAAATGAACTAAAGCCTAATACAAAAGAACAATGTAATTCTTTATCCATGTCATAAGAAACTTAGTTTTTACCAAAATAAAAACACCACCAATCGAAATTCTTCTCTTCTATAACCCAATCAAGTGAGAAAAATAAATTACTTTTCGATTTAAATAAGAGAAAAGTGATAGTGATTCATAGAATTGAATTATGCATATAAATTACTCTCTCCCCATATAAGATCCCATCTTACAACTAAGAATTCTATCAATTTCATAGTCTTCCTTATCTTTTCATTAAACAATTATTACGACAACATGGCACCTTTTCAAACATGGCTGGTTCGTCGTCGATGCTAGTCGGATTCGGAAGCTGGCGAAGCTGTGGCGGTGTTTTCCAGGAAGATGAGTTGGAGGTGATGATACATCAGCTGTGTGATGGTGATGGTGAGAATCAAAGAGAAACTGAAATGGAAGGAAGGAATGCGACAGTGGTAGTTTTGAAAGAAAAGGAAATGGGTTTGTAAGGATGATTAGGGTTTTTGTGAAAAATTATGCTTAAGGATTTCACAAAGGTTGAGGAAATGCCCAATGTAAAGGCTAGTCTTTTAAATCGGTTGATAGTTTACCCGACGTAAAGGCCCGATATAACAAAATTTCAATTTATTTATGAAAATGCCACCACGTAATTTTTTTTCATCAGTGGACTTTTCACATCGGTGCAAATCTAGGCCCGATGTGAAATATTTTATAACAAAATTTTATTTTATTTATCAAATTGCCACCGTGTTATATTTTCTCCAAATCAAATATTTTTCACATCATTGGAAATAAATGTCTGATGTAAAATCCTTTGACAAATATTTTTCACATGATATATTTTGAAACCTGATATAAAATCTTTTTACCAAATGTCTTATTTTTAGTAGTGACACTAATTTTTAGCGACTCACACCAATTTAATGACATAGACGATCTAACAATTGAATCAAACTGATTATCTGACAGGTTTTTGGTTCATCCGGTCCGACCGATCGGTCAATTCAATTTTTAAAACACTAGTTAATATGACTTGGCACTAAGACTTAACTGGTCTACACTAAAAGTGTGAAAAAATATTTTATACAGTTGATCGTAATTGTTTGATCTTGAATTATTTAACTATTATTTTGACTATTTAAAATAATAATTATGATTAGTTGTGATGAATTTAACATGAATTTTTTTTACAGTGACAATGCATAACAAATAACTTGTATGTTTTGTATTTTTAATTCATGAATCCAATAATCAAGTTTAGTAAATTCAGAAATTAAGATGCTTATAAATTCTTTCTATAAAATGTATTAAGAATTTCTTTATTGGCATTATTATCATTTTGATATCCATTATGATCAATACTATTCAAAATAAAATTGAATGCTCCACCATGTTAAGGCCAAATTTGTTAAGGCCAAATTTATTATCAATACCAGATTTTCTAGATAACAACAAAGAAATTTGAAAATAGAATGTCACAGTCATGGTGAAAAAAACAATTTATTTTAAAGGATAATTATTTCTTAAAGTAAATCACTCATATAGGAATGAAGAGAATTTATAGTCTGTTTGATAAAAAGAAGAAGTTATAAAACATGTTTAGAAATTTTTTATTAAAATTTCAATTTATTTTAAAAAATTCATGAATAAATAAGTAGTTCAAAATGTTATATAAAGAAATGATATATATTTTATATAAATGATCAAACTACCATTTTAAAAAAATTATATTTTAAAGTTTTTAAATAAATATCATTATTTTTTACTTTTTAATTTAAAAAAAAAATAATTTTAATAAATTAGTTATTATTATTATTTTTAATTATCGTTTAATTTTTAGTTTATTTATAACATGTTTTGTTTTGAATTTCATATTTTAAATTATATTTATATAATTAAATAAAGGGTCTTGTTAACTGGTGCTCTCAAAACATTCTTTAAGCATTTTTAAAAAAGAAAATATTTTATAAAAAATTTAACCATTTCAATTTTCAAAATATTAAATACGCAGATTTTTCAGAAAATTTTATTATTTTAAGGTCTTAAAAAGTTTTCTAAGAGCACTGGTTAGCATTTCCCTTAATCACAATATTCGATTTTAATCTCTTTAAAATTTGCCTTCAAACAATGGTCTTCATAAACTTTTTCATCCACAATTATGGTCACTGTCGTCAATTTTCATTCACGAAAGCTGACATAACACACCACATGAAAAACAGTTTGGCAAAAATCTAAAAATACTTAAAATTACGGGAATTTTAAACTTCCTCTAAACAAATCAAAATTTTTTAAAATCAAAATTCTAACAGAAATTTCATCCAAACACCTTAGGAACACCATTCAAAATTATAACATTGCTTCCTATCACAATGACAATTGCTCACCACCAACAACATTAGTATATATTTTTATCCTATTCTACTTGTTTTTAAATCCGTTCAAATTTCAAATAGGAATTCACACTAAAAATGCATGATATAATGGGATATATATTAGGATTAACTTATCATATTATATATATATATATATATATATATATATATATATATATATATATATATATATATATATATATATATATATATATATATATATGATGTGTCATCAAATATTAGATTGATACAAAATATGATATAAGTAGTAAATGATGGGTCTGAATTATGTATATAGATTAAATATATTAATTATTTAACAAATTTAAAAATTGAATTGTGATATGGACTAAAATTATAATATACTAAAAAATATAATTTATGAAAATATATACTAATACAGTAGTTTAAAAATGGATGTACTTGGTTTATATATCAATTTATCGTACTTTTATATATTTATAGTTCATTCTATAGTTGGTAAACGAGGGAGTGATGATATGGAATTAGGAGTCAACAGTCAACTATTGCTGAATACTATACTACAACTAAATTCAAATTAAATATTATCGATCCAAATTTACAAGCTTATAGTTTGTAATAAAATCAAATTAACCGTTTCAAAACTCTACTATAAAAATATATATGTTACTGGTGTTAGCAATGATTTGTTTGATTTTTTGCAGATATATAAAATATCTTTTTTCCTATAAGTAATTTAGAAGCATCACATAAAGTGAAATATAAATTTCTGCCCACAAAGAACTTATATCGGTTTGATCTAAGGGTAAATAAATTCTTTACATACTTTGCTTTGATCCAAGGGTAAACTCTTTTTTTAATGTATTTTTTTTTAAGTTTATCAATAATATTAATTTTGTTGAAAATAATAATGTGTGAGAAAAAAATAATGTCAATCCAAATAAATAGCCTCAAACAACAAAATCATTTACAAAACAAAGTAAAAAAAATTTAGAACATGAAAGAGGAAGACAAAAGCATAGTACATAAAGAATTTATTTACCCTTAGATCAAACTAATATCCTTTGAGAGAGAAAACAACTTTTTCAATTCACATTACTCTTAAAAAGTTGCTACAAAAAATTACAATCACTCTTGGATTAAATTTATGGACACTCTTGGATTTAACCACAACTGAAGTATTTTTAAAGTTCACAATATTTCAATGATAAATCAACCAATTCCAATTCTCTTCACTAAAAAAAAAAAGAGAATAAAGTTTAATTTTCCAATTCAAAACAATATTTAACTCAATCTCATATAACAATTATCTCAAGCAAATCAAAATAAAAAATTAACAATTTCACTATATTTCAAAATATCAACATTTAATTTCCAATACTTCACAATTCAATTAATAAAATTCAAGAAGCAATAGGAATTCTTACCGAAATTGACGCAAGCAAGCAAATAGGAGAAGATAAAGTGGAATTGGCCGGAGAACTCGCGATCAGAAGAGGATCTGCGGTGGACTGTTGGAGAACGGAGGGAGAACCGTCGGTTGATGTACGCGACAGAAGGAGGCACTGACCGACGAAGTGCCGCGACGGAGGAGGCGATCTCACGGCAGAATCTGCGGCAAAGGAGAGGGCACACTGACGGCGCGAAATCAGAGGGACTGTAGCGATGATGCTCGTGGAAATGGAAAGAAGAAAGAGTTGAAGATTTTGTTGTGAATTTTGGTTAAAGCTTCTTGAAGAAGATAAGAGAAAAATAGAGAGAGTTTTTTGGTTTGATCTTGTGAAATGTAAAAATGAGAGTGTAATTGTGTTTAAATTTTGAATTTCAAAATATATAGTTTTGACTCCAAACATGAATTTTCAACTTATTTTGTGCACAGTGCAAGATTGAACCACAAGTTCATAATAATTGGTGCGAAATCTTGATGCGCGACTTGAAAAAAAAGCTCTTGATGGCGAAATTTATGATGCGGTGCCGAAAGAATCGTCTCGATACGATAAAAATTGAGTAAGTTATGTCGCCCTGAACGACGAGAAACGCAATGTAAAAATTCACAGTGTAGAATTTCACAGCTTATTTTGTGTACGGCACGCGAACAAATCACAACCTCATGATGCTCGGAGTAAAATCTCTATGCGAACCCTGGAGCAAAAACGCCGGTGATGAAATTCGTGACGCGTGCCGAAAGAATCACCCTGATACGATAAAAATCGAACAAGTTATGGCTCTCGCCCACTCTGACATTAATTGGTATCATCAAGCTTATTATGATGATAAGATTATTGATAGTTGTGGTGTTTTTCCCAATGTCCCGGTTCTTGGTACAAAGGAAGGAATTAACTACAATCAAGTTCTTGCGTGCCGCCAGCTTAGATATCCGATGAGAGACAAGCCAAGTAACATTCATCTGAGTGGTTTCTTTCTCCAAGAAGGAAAAGATCACCAAGCAGCTAAGGAAGATATTGAAAAAGCTTGGCGCCATATTCATAGGAAGGGTAAAAAAGATTTGGGACCAAGAGGAGTTGTTTCCCTAGAGCCTCATCTCCGGTGGATACAAGCGAGGGCAATTGTAATACGGTGGCAGAACCGATAGTTATATACTGGTTTTTGCGTTTGTGTTTGCAAATATTGTGGTAAGCAAGAGTCGCCACCGACTTTTCTTTTATCCAAATTAAGGAAAGGGTGAAAATAACAGAAAAATATCTTTTCGAGATTATTCTGAGTAAGGGAAAATTTTGGGGTACAATAGCTTCCCCTGTTCAATCTTCTTAAACCTAAAGATGTAGATTTGCTTATCTGCCTTTCGTGATCTGAAGGTGGAAGATGATTGAACACTAGAGTGCCCAGAAATTTGCACTCGTATGAAGTAACATTGATGGTTGATGATGTAGGGAATGGGCTTACAGATTCCATTGGGAGGAGATGACAGAGAGTCGTCAGAGATGGGATGAAAGATGTCATCCAAAGTAGATGCTGATTTCACACATGGTCCCTTTGGGGGTTCTTGTTCCTGCTGTCTGAGGAGGAGTTCATTGGGGAATGTGGGTTTCTGTTTTTTCTCCTGTTTTGAGGAAAACTCCATGGGGAATAGAGTCTAGCAACTTCAGTTGTCCAAGGCTCTGTTGAAGAGTTATCTCTGAAGAGATAACAATTTGTTGTATTGTGGTTGAAGTCCAGGTTTCTAGTGATTTGCTGGGAATGATGGAATTAATCGTTATCTGGAAATGTATTTGAAAGAGCCTGTGTAGGGCTGCTTCAAGATGAGCCCGTGTTAGACTGTATGAGAAGAAACCTGTATAAGATTGCTTCATTTGGTCATGTAGATAACTTTCCTGTCTGGTTTCAGGTGTTAATCTACAATCAGTCGTTCACATATAGTTGTCCTGTCTGGTTTCAGGTATTAATCTGGAATTTGAAAATTGTCGGTCGTTGAGATAGTTGTCCTGGATGGTTTCAGGTATTGATCTCTAACCCAAGAAATAAAGATAGTTTCCCGTCTGGTTTCAGGTGTTAATCTTCAATCTTCTTATGTAGATAGTTTTCCTGGCTTGTTACAGGTATTAATCCACAGTCGGTCGTCCACATATGGTTCTCCTTGCTTATTACAGGTGTTTATCTGGAACTTGAAAATTGTCGGTCGTTAAGATAGTTGTCATGGCTGGTTTCAGGTATTAATCTCTGACCTGAGAAAGAAAGATGGTTTTCCTAGCTTGTTACAGGTATTAATCCATAGTCGGTCGTCCACAGATGGTTCTCCTGGCTTGTTACAGGTATTAATCTGGAACTTGTTTTGCTGGTCACATAGATAGTTTCCCCGTCTGGTTTCAGGCATTAATCTGTGGCATGCTGTATTTGTTGGTAAACCCATCTTGTTTCAGGAGTTCATACCACTTGGTCGTACAAATAGTTCCCCATCTGGTTTCGGGTATTAATCTTTGACCTGTTGTAAAAGTTGATAGTATTTGTTTGTCTGCTAATTTAACCTGAAAAGGTAAAATCAGTTTCATGCGATGTCATGATGTATGATTTGAATGATGCTCCCAAAATAAATGAGATAATGATATATGTATTTGTATGCACATGCCATGATGTATGAACATGTAATGCTGTTGTGCATTATCTTTGTTTGGGAAAATAGATCCCTGACAGCTGCTGAAGAGTACCGGGTGAAACAACCGGCTGAAAATCATCAAACAATGAAGTCGCCATCGAACGTCTTTTATCCCACACGTAGGGAAAGGTAAACATCGAGAAAACCTGAGAAGGGAGAAGTCACGGTCTTGTGACCGAGAGATCGGGTAAGGGAGTCTGTTACACGAGGGGAAGGTATTAGCACCCCACACGCCCGTAGTACTCTACGGTATCCACTCTTGTTATCTATCTTATGGGTGTGTTTAATCTATGCTTACTGTTCATTACTGCTAAGGGAAAATGCATGCAAAAGAAAAGGAGAAAAGAATGTAGGGAAAATAAAATTGTGCTCGCCTGGGCCCTACCCCAATGCCTACGTATCCTTTTTGAGGAATCAGAGCTACCGTAGTTCGGCTCATATGTTTTCGTTTGTTTGTGTTTTTTATGGACGAAGTTAATCCCGCCTTCTGCCGCAGCTCGACCTTTGGAGACTTATGCGTTGGCACAGAAGTAAATTAATCATGTCCTTACCTGAAAAGGGTTTTTTCTGAGAAGTGCTTGAGCGCACAAAAGATTTGAGTTGGTTTTGTATTTTCGTTGTAGATGATGACTGATTGACCTCAAGGGAGAGGTATTAGCCATTTTTATACTTAGTCATGAAAGGAGTCTTTGAGAATTGAACCACACCTATGCTTGAGATGAAGAACAATAAGATCGAGAAGAGACCCGCTTATCATTTCCCGTACTAAGCAAAAGCATGATTCTCATCAGTAGTTTTACAGTGTTTTGAATTTCGAAAAGAAAAAAGAAGTTTTAGTTTTAGATGCGTATGCGAAAAGGAAAGAAAAGTTAAAGGGGAATTAGCCTATTTCTAAACCTGATGTTATTATGTATTGTTAGACCTAAAGTTTGCATGAAGGAGGGAATTTCTACCTAATGTTAGCATGCATATGGTTTGCGATAAAGTGCCGAAATGAAGAATAAAATAGGGTTGTGACGATACCGAACGGAGAAGGTCCGTTGCCTCTTCAAAATTGTGCAAGCGGTAAGAAAATTCTATCAAAGTTCCCTTGGGCGAGTGATTGAAGAATTCACCCCGAGCATTCCACATTGCAAGAGTTATGTCGATGCTACAAAAATCTTGACTAGAAAATGGCAATAAAAATGATTATCGAATATGAAAAATAAAATAGAAAAAATTCTAATCGAAATTCTAAAAAGAAATTCTAAAGAATTCTAAAATATTCTATTATTTTTATTATCAATTGAGAGGAAAAATTAAACTAGAAGAAAATTAAAATAATAAAAAAGAAAAATTAGAAGACTCAGGAGGTATGAGCTGAATTCAGGGGTGTAGTGCAGTAATTTGCCCAAAAGAATTTTTTGTTCAATTTCTTCAGGCTAAAAAACAACAACACGGGCCTAAAGCAAAAAGTGAGGCCCAGTCTAATTAATTCCTCATTTTCCAGCATATTTTATAATTATCAATTTAGTTATAATTATTATTAATTTGAATTAAAAAATAATAAAACAATGCAACTATTAAAACTAAAAAGAAAAGATATGAAATTGGAAAGGGGTTTTAGGGTTAGAAATTGCCGGCGGCGGAAGTCTTTCGAAACAAACTCCATTCTTCTCTCTTCTCTTACGGCGGCGGAAGTTCACAGTCTCTCATCTCTGTCCACCGATCACCATGGTGCTTTCATCACCGTTCAGTAATCTCAACCTCCTGTCTCTGTTCGAATCAACGTTAGACCGGTGCAAAGGCTTTGATCTAAGCTCTGATCGGAACTACAACGATCGAAAACCGTCCGATGCGTTTTTGACGGTGACGAACAAGAAGGAAAACCATAGATGCCGAATTGTATTTGAGGTATACAATATTTGATTCTTTCGTTTTCTTGTGACGCTTCTATCTTATCAACCTATTCGCTTCCGATGTTCCTCTACAATCTAGATGTTCAACGCTACCTCTATGATGCGCTCTGATTTCTATCTATTCGCATGATTTCCGTCTTGTTCAGTTCATATCTTCGCGTCTCGAATCTCTTCAATGCTTCGATCTTACTTCACGCTTCAAGTATGATTCCGGTATGTGTTCTTGACTTCTTATTTTACCCTTTTCTCGTTGCACTGTATTGTTGTTTCTCTTGCGATGTGAAAAAGCATTGTTGAACTACAACGCAAATGTACTGACGCGGTTGTGTGACAGATTTGCAGGAGATGATGAGATAGAGAGAGAAGGTGTATGCGTGGTGACTCTTTTGTGAATTGAAGAGTGAAGAAGGTTAAAGATGATGAAGGATCTTGAGGAATTGTTGAGTGAGTGAGGTTGAAAGGTTAGTATTATGATTTTCTCTGAATTTTTCTGTATTGAATCGTAACTCCTTCTCCCTCTCTGTTATCTGTTATATATGTATCCTTATGCTGGAAATTTGTTGGTTAGGAGGTTAGTTAGGATTTGGGAAATGGAAAGTTGGTTACAGTTAGAAGTTAGGAAAAAGTTTGGACTGTTAAGATGCAGTTAGGAATTTGTTACTAGTTAAATTAGTTTGTTGTAACTGTTTTGGGTTGGTTAAGTTAGTTACGGGGCTGTTTCTATTTTCTGGTTATGGAATTGGTTTTGGTTGTTTAAAATTCTGTTAGAAGCGGTTAGGAGGTGGGAAATGGAAAGTTGGTTATAGTTGAGTTAGTTTGATTATGAAAGCTGTTAGGAAAGTTA